TTTTCCATAGATTCCTGTTGCGAACGTCATCTCTTGTGGCACTCTTCCTCCTTTGCCGCTCTCCCTCCATCTCGTGCTCTCTCTATGGCTCTACAGCAGTAGTCACAGACAAAAAAAATCACCACGGTATGTCGGGACCCGCGCTATTGCAGGAAGGTCCCTGAATAGTAATTTAGTACTTCGTACATAGTCTAGCGGGTTAGGTTGTTGCGCCAAGGAATCGTTTCCGCGACAAGTTCATCGGCAGCCACGCTTTCGGGGCCGCGATATCTTGGGACCACCACTGCTGTACTCAACGTCAATGACGCCGACCGACTAAGGCTAAAACCCGGCGGGCTCCCCGGAGGTTCCGAGCAAAAAGAGAAAAGGATAACTAGAGATCCCTTGACTCCCAAGAATCCGCTGACAACGACTGCGTCTACGAGTACGAGCCTGTCGAGTACATGGGACGGTGAGCCCGATTATGACGGTAAGGAAGGCCCAGCGTTGAGGGATGGGCGATCAATAACGTCGACGCCCGGTGCGGCATGTGTCTCCGCTTGCGTGGTGCCTACAATCACGCTCGGATAAAGCATGCCAACAGGAGGCTGCACTTTTACCCCTCTTGCGTACATCATGGAAGAGAGAGACGAAGCGAAAAGCCGGAGCTACAACGAACAACCTGGCAAATACAAAAAAACATGTGCCAGGTTGTTCGTCTCCAGCTCGGACTTTTCTCTTCCTCCCTCTCTGCCATGACTGGCGCAAGACGGTGAAAAAGCGCAGCCTCGTGTTGGCAGGCTCTGTCCGAGCGCGTTGGCAGGCACCGCACATGTGGAGGCATATGCCGCACCGGGCGTGGGCATCATCGATCACATATCCTCAGCGCTGGGTCTTGCTTCTCGTCGGTGTCGGGCTCACCGTCCATGTACTCGACAAGCTCATCGTCGTTGTCGTTGTCGACGGCTTAGTCTGAGACTTCGGAGTCGAAGACCTCTACACGCAGTTGTCCTTGCTCGTTTTGCTCGGGACCTCCGTGGAGCCCGCCGACTTTTCTTTTCGGTCGTAGTCGATCGGCGCCATTGACGTTGAATACAGTAGTGGTCCCGAGATATCGCGGCGTGCTGTAGTGACAAGACAAAAAAACCACCGTGGTGTATCGGGGCCCGCGCTATACGGGGAAGGTCTCTCAATAGCTAGAGGCCCTTGATTCCGAAGAATCCGTCGAGTACATGGACGGCGAGCCCAATGACGACCAGAACCAAGAGCCAGCGCTGAGGGATAGGTGATCGATGACGTCCACGTCCGCTGCGCCATTTGTCTACACAGGCGTGGTGCCTACGAACACCCTCGGACAAAAAAGTGCCAATGCGCGGCTGTGTCTGCCATTCCTCTTACATGAGTCTTGTCCAAGTCTTGTCCGACAAGACGTACGCACGAGGAGTGGCAGACACAGCCGCACGTTGACACTCTTCGTTCAAGTGTGTTCGTCGGCACCCCGCCTGCAGAGGCATATGCCGCACCGGGCGTGGACGTCATCGACCACCTTTCCCTCGGCGCTGGGTCTCGCTTCTCGTCGTTGTAGGGCTCACCGTCCATGTACTCGACAAGCTCATGGTCGTTGTCGTTGTCGACGGGTCAGTCTGAGACTTCGGAGTCGAAGACCTCTACACGCAGTTGTCCTTGCTCGTTTTGCTCGGGACCTCCGTGGAGCCCGCCGACTTTTCTTTTCGGTCGTAGTCGATCGGCGTCATTGACGTTGAATACAGCAGTGGTCCCGAGATATCACGGCGTGCTGTAGTGAGCTTTGGTTAGTGACAGACAACAGTCGGGTACCGCACTACAGGAGGAAGGTCCCTGAATAGCTATTGTAGAGGTCCTTGGGTTCCGAAGAATCCGTCGAGTACATGGCCGGTGAGCCCGACGACGACGAGAAGCC